AATATATGTAATTGTATTTTTCAGTTTTGTCAATGAAGAAGGCTTCAAACATCAAATGTACGCCTTGTACTCCACGCCGACATGCTACCTGCAGACGACGCACCAGGAGAAGTAATGACAAGTTGTCTTCTTGGTAACAGTTTCGTTATATGTTATACAATTTAAAATGAACCACACATTACAATATTTGGAGTTTATATTAATATACATAAATATATGTTATTACATATATATTAATTATATTTTTCAGTTTTGTCAATGAAGAAGGCTTCAAACATCAAATGTACGCCATGTACTCCACGCCGACATGCTACCTGCAGACGACGCACCAGGAGAAGTAATGACATGTTGTCTTCTTGGTAAGAGTTTCGTTATATGTTATACAATTTAAAATGAACCACACATTACAATATTTGGAGTTTATATTAATATACATAAATATATGTTATTATATATATACAGGGTGACTGGTGAATTACTATCAATATTTAAGGAGCATACTCGGTACATGATTCTCATTCGAATTATGTAAAAAAAATAGGTACTTAATTTTTGACCAAATTTCCGTATAAATAAATAAAGTGTGTACACGTTCCAAGTGTTCCTAGTGTGGACGCGTGCGGCGGCGTGCTGATACAACAACACGCCGCCGCGCGCATATGTGTGAGTGTGTGTGTATACCTAATCTGTAGGGTGTTCATACGATGCGTAATTAATTACATAACTTTTGGTTAACTTTACCTAGAAGTTTATTAATATTTATGTTATATGTATTAATTTTTATTTTGTCATATATGATCGTCAAATATCACGTCCTCAAATATCGATAGTAATTCACCAGTCACCCTGTATATATTAATTATATTTTTCAGTTTTGTCAATGAAGAAGGCTTCAAACATCAAATGTACGCCATGTACTCCACGCCGACATGCTACCTGCAGACGACGCACCAGGAGAAGTAATGACAAGTTGTCTTCTTGGTAACAGTTTCGTTATATGTTATACAATTTAAAATGAACCACACATTACAATATTTGGAGTTTATATTAATATACATAAATATATGTTATTACATATATATTAATTATATTTTCCAGTTTTGTCAATGAAGAAGGCTTCAAACATCAAATGTACGCCATGTACTCCACGCCGACATGCTACCTGCAGACGACGCACCAGGAGAAGTAATGACAAGTTGTCTTCTTGGTAAGAGTTTCGTTATATGTTATACAATTTAAAATGAACCACACATTACAATATTTGGAGTTTATATTAATATACATAAATATATGTTATTATATATATATTAATTATATTTTTCAGTTTTGTCAATGAAGAAGGCTTCAAACATCAAATGTACGCCATGTACTCCACGCCGACATGCTACCTGCAGACGACGCACCAGGAGAAGTAATGACAAGTTGTCTTCTTGGTAAGAGTTTCGTTATATGTTATACAATTTAAAATGAACCACACATTACAATATTTGGAGTTTATATTAATATACATAAATATATGTAATTGTATTTTTCAGTTTTGTCAATGAAGAAGGCTTCAAACATCAAATGTACGCCTTGTACTCCACGCCGACATGCTACCTGCAGACGACGCACCAGGAGAAGTAATGACAAGTTGTCTTCTTGGTAACAGTTTCGTTATATGTTATACAATTTAAAATGAACCACACATTACAATATTTGGAGTTTATATTAATATACATAAATATATGTTATTACATATATATTAATTATATTTTTCAGTTTTGTCAATGAAGAAGGCTTCAAACATCAAATGTACGCCATGTACTCCACGCCGACATGCTACCTGCAGACGACGCACCAGGAGAAGTAATGACAAGTTGTCTTCTTGGTAAGAGTTTCGTTATATGTTATACAATTTAAAATGAACCACACATTACAATATTTGGAGTTTATATTAATATACATAAATATATGTTATTATATATATACATTAATTATATTTTTCAGTTTAGTCAATGAAGAAGGCTTCAAACATCAAATGTACGCCATGTACTCCACGCCGACATGCTACCTGCAGACGACGCACCAGGAGAAGTAATGACATGTTGTCTTCTTGGTAAGAGTTTCGTTATATGTTATACAATTTAAAATGAACCACACATTACAATATTTGGAGTTTATATTAATATACATAAATATATGTTATTATATATATACAGGGTGACTGGTGAATTACTATCAATATTTAAGGAGCATACTCGGTACATGATTCTCATTCGAATTATGTAAAAAAATATAGGTACTTAATTTTTGACCAAATTTCCGTATAAATAAATAAAGTGTGTACACGTTCCAAGTGTTCCTAGTGTGGACGCGTGCGGCGGCGTGCTGATACAACAACACGCCGCCGCGCGCGTATGTGTGAGTGTGTGTGTATACCTAATCTGTAGGGTGTTCATACGATGCGTAATTAATTACATAACTTTTGGTTAACTTTACCTAGAAGTTTATTAATATTTATGTTATATTAATTTTTATTTTGTCATATATGATCGTCAAATATCACGTCCTCAAATATCGATAGTAATTCACCAGTCACCCTGTATATATTAATTATATTTTTCAGTTTTGTCAATGAAGAAGGCTTCAAACATCAAATGTACGCCATGTACTCCACGCCGACATGCTACCTGCAGACGACGCACCAGGAGAAGTAATGACAAGTTGTCTTCTTGGTAACAGTTTCGTTATATGTTATACAATTTAAAATGAACCACACATTACAATATTTGGAGTTTATATTAATATACATAAATATATGTTATTATATATATATTAATTATATTTTTCAGTTTTGTCAATGAAGAAGGCTTCAAACATCAAATGTACGCCATGTACTCCACGCCGACATGCTACCTGCAGACGACGCACCAGGAGAAGTAATGACAAGTTGTCTTCTTGGTAACAGTTTCGTTATATGTTATACAATTTAAAATGAACCACACATTACAATATTTGGAGTTTATATTAATATACATAAATATATGTTATTATATATATATTAATTATATTTTTCAGTTTAGTCAATGAAGAAGGCTTCAAACATCAAATGTACGCCATGTACTCCACGCCGACATGCTACCTGCAGACGACGCACCAGGAGAAGTAATGACAAGTTGTCTTCTTGGTAAGAGTTTCGTTATATGTTATACAATTTAAAATGAACCACACATTACAATATTTGGAGTTTATATTAATATACATAAATATATGTTATTATATATATATTAATTATATTTTTCAGTTTTGTCAATGAAGAAGGCTTCAAACATCAAATGTACGCCATGTACTCCACGCCGACATGCTACCTGCAGACGACGCACCAGGAGAAGTAATGACAAGTTGTCTTCTTGGTAACAGTTTCGTTATATGTTATACAATTTAAAATGAACCACACATTACAATATTTGGAGTTTATATTAATATACATAAATATATGTTATTATATATATATTAATTATATTTTTCAGTTTTGTCAATGAAGAAGGCTTCAAACATCAAATGTACGCCATGTACTCCATGCCGACATGCTACCTGCAGACGACGCACCAGGAGAAGTAATGACAAGTTGTCTTCTTGGTAACAGTTTCGTTATATGTTATACAATTTAAAATGAACCACACATTACAATATTTGGAGTTTATATTAATATACATAAATATATGTTATTATATATATATTAATTATATTTTTCAGTTTAGTCAATGAAGAAGGCTTCAAACATCAAATGTACGCCATGTACTCCACGCCGACATGCTACCTGCAGACGACGCACCAGGAGAAGTAATGACAAGTTGTCTTCTTGGTAAGAGTTTCGTTATATGTTATACAATTTAAAATGAACCACACATTACAATATTTGGAGTTTATATTAATATACATAAATATATGTTATTATATATATATTAATTATATTTTTCAGTTTTGTCAATGAAGAAGGCTTCAAACATCAAATGTACGCCATGTACTCCACGCCGACATGCTACCTGCAGACGACGCACCAGGAGAAGTAATGACAAGTTGTCTTCTTGGTAAGAGTTTCGTTATATGTTATACAATTTAAAATGAACCACACATTACAATATTTGGAGTTTATATTAATATACATAAATATATGTTATTACATATATATTAATTATATTTTTCAGTTTTGTCAATGAAGAAGGCTTCAAACATCAAATGTACGCCATGTACTCCACGCCGACATGCTACCTGCAGACGACGCACCAGGAGAAGTAATGACAAGTTGTCTTCTTGGTAACAGTTTCGTTATATGTTATACAATTTAAAATGAACCACACATTACAATATTTGGAGTTTATATTAATATACATAAATATATGTTATTATATATATATATTAATTATATTTTTCAGTTTAGTCAATGAAGAAGGCTTCAAACATCAAATGTACGCCATGTACTCCACGCCGACATGCTACCTGCAGACGACGCACCAGGAGAAGTAATGACAAGTTATCTTCTTGGTAACAGTTTCGTTATATGTTATACAATTTAAAATGAACCACACATTACAATATTTGGAGTTTATATTAATATACATAAATATATGTTATTATATATATATTAATTATATTTTTCAGTTTAGTCAATGAAGAAGGCTTCAAACATCAAATGTACGCCATGTACTCCACGCCGACATGCTACCTGCAGACGACGCACCAGGAGAAGTAATGACAAGTTGTCTTCTTGGTGTATAATCTTATGTATTTAATTTAGTATTATGCATGTAATTTAGTACCTTAAGTTAATAATAGATGGCAGTAGTGATAGAAAGTAAAACACGCTAACAAAATTTTTTTATGGTATTAGATATAAGCCAAATTAATTAAAATATAAAATGGATCTGAGGGATCTAAGATCTGAAACAACAGAGTGTTTTCATTGTTAAAACCCTGGGGTACAGTTCCTTATTACCAGCGAGGCAGTGTCTTTTAAATTGGTCCTTCGAGCCGGATCTATAACCGCGAAGTGCCGCGAAAGATCCGTTTTTTGTGAAACTACACTTGCGGGCAGTGGATTGCTGTCGCAAACGCAAGTCCCAGGAGCTAATCGAGGCGAAGTGCAGCCTCGGATAGCTTCAGACCGCGTCTTCAAGCGGTCAGGTCACGGTGGGCGGAATCTACCCGTCATCAGCATCGGGTGCGGCAAGGATCCACGGAACAGTCACCAACTACTGAGGTCCGAGGGGATTCAAGGCGTCCCTCTCTCAGTACGTCATCACCAAGAGGTCAGGTCATCATCAGCGCCAGCATCGGCTGCGGGGAGCAGCTGGTACTGAGGTCCGAGGGGAATCAAGGCGTCCCTCTCTCACAGTACGTCATTAAAAGTGATAGTGAGTGATTAGTGTTGTGAATATCTGTGTCTGGACAATTGTAAGTACTTTGAACCTTATTACTTAGAAGAAATTAACTTTAAAGAATCTCAAAAACTTATAAAATTACATTACAGTGAATTATCTTAGAACATATTGTGTAGTTTAGACTTTAAAAAATAATTATATTAATTTTAACTTAGAAATAATTTGCATGATATTAGGACTTAGAATAATTTACAAAAAAACGAAGGTACGGGGAACCTATGCCCAAATTTTAAATTTCTTATATATGTAATTCAAACACTTAGAAAAAATTTCTTTGAATAGTTACTGCATTTGTTAATTAATGTTTAAAAACACTTAGTATAATTTACAAAAAAAAAACGAAGATACGGGGAATCCATGCCCAAATTTTAAATTTCTTATATATGTAATTCAGACACTTAGAAAAATTTCGTTGAATACTTTTACTACGTTTGTTAATCAATGTTTAAAAACACTTAAAATATTGTTGTAAATTTAAAATAATTTTTGCTTTGTATAATTTTAATTTGTAAACATGGAAAACATTATTAACTTCCAAGAAGATTTGTATGAACGTATTGTAAAGGCAAAGACTAATTTTAAGAAATCGCCTAAAGAACGTATAACCAAAGAATATGTAGATAGTAGACTAGAAAATCTTGAACAATTGTGGTTTGAATTTCTGTCTGGTCACAAAGACTTATTTAGAAGCTATAATGCAAAGGATGTTAAAGGTTCAAGTTATGTCACTAAAAATGTTTATGACAAAGCTGAAGAAATGTATTTAGAATATAAGTGTGATCTTAAAACGTTATCTAAACAATTTGAATCAAAATTAATAGTTGAAAGTAATGAACCGAAACCTAAAGTTTCAAATAGAATGCATGCAAACTATCCACAAATAAATATACCTCACTTTTCTGGAAATTACCAAGAGTGGACAACGTTCAAATCTCTCTTCAAATCTCTTGTTATTAATAACGAATGTTTGGATGAGATTCAAAGACTTCATTACCTCAAATGTTACCTTAAAGGAGAAGCCGAACAGTTAATTAAACATGTACCTATTGAGGAAGGAAACTTTGAGCGTTGTTGGCTAGTGGTAAACGAACGATACAATGATAAAAAGTGGATATGTCATCACGTTCTTAAAAGATTTTTGAGCCAGAAAAATCTTACCACCGAGTCCAGTGTCGGGCTAAAAGAGCTTGTAGATACTACAAATGAATGTTTGGCAAGTTTGGCAAGTTTAGGAATAAAAGTTGAGGAATGGGATATGATCGTCATTCATCTAATTAATTTAAAACTAGACCCAGAGACACGTCGTCAGTGGGAATTTCATTGTACCGCAAAAACTACTTCTGACGAATTGCCCACTTATCAATTGTTTGTTAATTTCCTTAAGGAACGATTTTCAGCTATCAACCGGTTGTCACAATCAAATAAACCTATTAACACTACAACTAAAATAAAGGCGTTACATATTACAAAGACTGTAACTTGTGTCTTATGTAAAGAAAATCATAAAATTAATCAATGTACGCAGTTTCACAAGGCGTCAATTGACGCACGCCGCAAAATTGTTACTAACAATAACTTGTGTTTTAATTGCTTGGGTGAAAATCACTCTGCCAGGGAATGCCACAGCAAGGTGAAATGTCGTGTGTGTAAGCGTTCACACAACTCTCTTTTACACCCCAAGGGTGATAATAACGGGAATAATGAGGCAAGTGAGAGTATTGCCTCTTCGTCAAATGATACATCGCAAGTAGTCTCATGTTTAGCATCGAGCACACTCACTTATCAGCAAGTACTACTTGCAACTGCATTGGTCAAGGCAGTTTCACGAAGGGGGGAAAACTTAATTATCCGAGCCTTGATCGATCAAGGGTCGCAGTCGTCTTTCATAACGGAATCGACTGTGCAATACCTGGGGCTGAAAAAGATGTCAGCTAAGGGACGAATATCAGGCTGCGAAGACAACACGTGGAGATGCAGATGGTCGCTATGTCGTTCGTCTTCCGCTCAAGAGCGAGAATCCTCAAGTGACATCTTCACGGGAAATCGCCGAGAGAAGGCTAAAATCATTAGAACATAAATTAAATAGGGACAAAGAGTTACAAACTAAATATCATGAAGTTATAAACGAATACATTACTCTTAATCATTTAGAGCTTGTACCTGAAACAGAAATCGATAATAAAAACGCAATTTACTTACCCCATCACGCGGTTGTGAGAAATGACAAAACAACTACAAAGGTGAGAGTTGTTTTCGATGCGTCCTGCAAAGGAAAAAATAACATGTCACTGAACGATCATTTACTAGTGGGACCAACAATTCAACCAGAACCTAAGTTCTGTTATGTCTAAACATATCATCATGAAATGGCGGATGGCACCCATTTGTCTATCTGCGGATATTATTAAGATGTATCGGCAAGTGAAAATGGATAAACGGGACAACGATTATCAAAGAATCCTGTGGAGAGATAATCCTAACGAAAAAATAAAACATTACCGACTTAACCGAGTTACATTTGGCACGGCTTCCGCGCCTTATCTGGCCGTAAAGGCACTCCAACAAGTTGCACGTGATCACAGCGAAGAATACCCTATGGCAGCTCAGAAAACGTTAAATGATTTCTACGTAGATGATTTCATGAGCGGAGTTCAAAACGTGAATGAAGGAATCGAGCTATTTAATGAAATGAATGAGCTACTGAGTAAAGCGGGTTTTGAACTTCAAAAATGGACAAGCAACAACAAAAACCTTACCGAAATAATGCAAAGAAAGGACAAAACTATACTAAAAGGAAGTGATAAGGAAATAAAAGAAGATGAGCTAGTAAAAACAATGGGACTTACCTTTGACCGAAACGAAGACACGATCCGCTTCGTAATAAACCTACCGACACTGCAGGAACCTGTAACAAAAAGAAAAATTATATCGGATATAGCACGTTTTTATGATCCATTAGGGTGGGTTGGACCCAATATAATATTAGCAAAAATGATGATACAAAAGCTATGGCTTGCAGGAATTGCCTGGGACGAAGTCGTTCCAGACAACTTATTAAAAGAATGGTTAACTTACCGTAGTGAACAAATCAAATTAAGAGAATTACGTATACCAAGATGGATGGGGACATCAAAAGAAGATCGCGAAGTTGAACTGCATGGCTTTTGTGATGCGTCGAAATCAGCGTACGCTGCAGTGGTATACATTCGAACTCTGTCACCCGAAGGAAAGGTCAGCGTCTCATTGGTTACGGCAAAAACGAGAGTCGCGCCTGTAAAACAAATTTCAATACCGAGGCTCGAACTATGTGGAGCAGTCATGGTAACCAAATTATTAACAGAAGTAGCAACCATACTAAACGTTGCAAAACACAACTTACACGCTTGGACTGACTCAACCGTCGTTCTAGCATGGTTAAACAAACATCCTAGCAAGTGGAGTGTGTTTGTAGCAAATAGGGTATCCGAAATTTTAATGAATTTAGAGCCACTAAATTGGTCACACGTCACCTCTAAACACAATCCAGCTGACTGCGCATCTCGCGGCTTAAATCCCGCTGAACTGGTTAACAACTGGTCCATGTGGTACAACGGACCAGAATTTTTACATCTAATGCTACCATCACTTACAACAAGCCTAAGCAACTGGAAACTGAGTTGGAATTGATTAAAACCCACTGCGCGATTTTGGAGAGTGACAACATGTTTTCTAATCTATTGAACAGGTCCTCGTCGTTAACAAAGGCAAAAAGAGTGCTTGCCTACTGCGTGCGGTTTGCTAATGTAATTAAGAAAACTGCTTTCAAAGGCACTACTTGCCTTACCACGGAGGAATTGAATGAGGCCTTAAATCGTTATATAAAACAGTGTCAATTGAGTTGCTTCGAAAAAGAAATAAAGAATATTAAAGTTATCCAAGACTTACCTAAGCACTCCAAGTTAAAGGCACTCACTCCATATCTGGACGAACATGGCATCTTAAGAGTAGGTGGACGATTGCACCAATCAGATTTATTAACATTCACTCGAAAGCATCCCATCATAATACCCAAAAATTGTCGCCTGGCTCAACTAATTGTGGCTGAGGCCCACAAGAACACCCTTCATGGCGGACCGCAAGCTACATTGTGTTACGTCCAAACGAGATACTGGATCATCGGCGGCAAACAGTTAGCAAAATCTCATTACCGTTCATGCGTCACGTGTATCAAAAATGCTGCAATTTCAAAATCTCCTTTAATGGGACAACTACCTTCTGCTAGGATTACTCCATCTCGAGCGTTCAGCAACAGTGGCGTCGATTACGCCGGCCCAATCCAACTAAGAGTGAGCAAAGGTAGAGGCAACAAATCCTATAAAGGATATATCGCCTTATTCGTTTGTATGGCGACAAGGGCCATTCACTTAGAGGTCGTAAGCGACCTAACATCAGAAGGATTCTTACAGGCCTTTAAACGGTTTGTAGCCAGACGTGGTCATTGTTCGCATCTGTGGAGCGACAATGCCACCAATTTCATTGGAGCATCAAATGAGCTCAAAGGACTCAGTATGGCTGAACAGAAGCAGCTGCTTACAGAAGTTGCCGAAGCGTTGACCATTAATAATTGCGAATGGCACTTTATACCCCCCCATTCCCCTAATTTTGGAGGTTTGTGGGAAGCAGGAGTCAAGTCGGTAAAGTACCACTTGAAAAGAATTGTTGGCAACTCAACTTTAACTTATGAGGAGATGGCAACAGTCCTGGCCCAGGTAGAAGCATGCCTGAACTCTCGTCCGTTGTCTGTGATCAAAGATGATCCTGACACCATTTTAACCCCCGGACACTTTCTCATCGGAGAACCGCTGGTAACAGTTCCTGATCAAAACGTAGAGACTTTAAATGTGAGTTCATTGAGGAGGTGGCAATACACTCAACTTATGCTTCAAATCTTTTGGCGACAATGGTCGCAGGAATACCTTTCAAAATTTCTGCTACAGTATAAAGGAAATCTTTCCACTCAATTTAAGGTTGGTGATGTAGTGGTCGTAAAAGAGGACAATATGCCTCCCTGTCGGTGGCTTTACGGCAGAGTGATAGACACCCATCCTGGTAAGGATAATGTAGTGCGGGTAGTAACACTCAAAACCAAATCAGGTGCTCTCAAAAGACCCACCTCTAAATTGTGTATCCTTCCCATAGCGGAATAACCTTTGTAAATTAAAGTCCAAAGGCAAACTTTGGCCTTGGTGGGCGGCATGTATAATCTTATGTATTTAATTTAGTATTATGCATGTAATTTAGTACCTTAAGTTAATAATAGATGGCAGTAGTGATAGAAAGTAAAACACGCTAACAAAATTTTTATGGTATTAGATATAAGCCAAATTAATTAAAATATAAAATGGATCTGAGGGATCTAAGATCTGAAACAACAGAGTGTTTTCATTGTTAAAACCCTGGGGTACAGTTCCTTATTACAAGCGAGGCAGTGTCTTGTAAACTTGGTAAGAGTTTCGTTATATGTTATACAATTTAAAATGAACCACACATTACAATATTTGGAGTTTATATTAATATACATAAATATATGTAATTGTATTTTTCAGTTTTGTCAATGAAGAAGGCTTCAAACATCAAATGTACGCCATGTACTCCACGCCGACATGCTACCTGCAGACGACGCACCAGGAGAAGTAATGACAAGTTGTCTTCTTGGTAACAGTTTCGTTATATGTTATACAATTTAAAATGAACCACACATTACAATATTTGGAGTTTATATTAATATACATAAATATATGTTATTATATATATATTAATTATATTTTTCAGTTTAGTCAATGAAGAAGGCTTCAAACATCAAATGTACGCCATGTACTCCACGCCGACATGCTACCTGCAGACGACGCACCAGGAGAAGTAATGACAAGTTGTCTTCTTGGTAAGAGTTTCGTTATATGTTATACAATTTAAAATGAACCACACATTACAATATTTGGAGTTTATATTAATATACATAAATATATGTTATTATATATATATTAATTATATTTTTCAGTTTTGTCAATGAAGAAGGCTTCAAACATCAAATGTACGCCATGTACTCCACGCCGACATGCTACCTGCAGACGACGCACCAGGAGAAGTAATGACAAGTTGTCTTCTTGGTAACAGTTTCGTTATATGTTATACAATTTAAAATGAACCACACATTACAATATTTGGAGTTTATATTAATATACATAAATATATGTAATTATATTTTTCAGTTTTGTCAATGAAGAAGGCTTCAAACATCAAATGTACGCCATGTACTCTACGCCGACTTGCTACCTGCAGACGACGCACCAGGAGAAGTAATGACAAGTTGTCTTCTTGGTAACAGTTTCGTTATATGTTATACAATTTAAAATGAACCACACATTACAATATTTGGAGTTTATATTAATATACATAAATACATATATGTTATTATATATATATTAATTATATTTTTCAGTTTAGTCAATGAAGAAGGCTTCAAACATCAAATGTACGCCATGTACTCCACGCCGACATGCTACCTGCAGACGACGCACCAGGAGAAGTAATGACAAGTTGTCTTCTTGGTAACAGTTTCGTTATATGTTATACAATTTTAAATGAACCACACATTACAATATTTGGAGTTTATATTAATATACATAAATATATGTAATTGTATTTTTCAGTTTTGTCAATGAAGAAGGCTTCAAACATCAAATGTACGCCATGTATTCCACGCCGACATGCTACCTGCAGACGACGCACCAGGAGAAGTAATGACAAGTTGTCTTCTTGGTAACAGTTTCTTTATATGTTATACAATTTAAAATGAACCACACATTACAATATTTGGAGTTTATATTAATATACATAAATATATGTAATTGTATTTTTCAGTTTTGTCAATGAAGAAGGCTTCAAACATCAAATGTACGCCATGTACTCCACGCCGACATGCTACCTGCAGACGACGCACCAGGAGAAGTAATGACAAGTTGTCTTCTTGGTAAGAGTTTCGTTATATGTTATACAATTTAAAATGAACCACACATTACAATATTTGGAGTTTATATT